CAAACTTAGGATTCTGAACCCACTCATTTTCTAAGATTTTTCATATTTTTATTTTATTTTTCGCAGCACCTTTTCGGTACGCGCTTTTCCATAGCCAATATCAGTTCTGGCACCAGTTCTCATTATTTTAGCCCGAAACTTGTTTTCCAAGTCCTATATAATATTCTAGAAATATTCATGCACTTAATATAATTTTCCGGGATACTTCGTCAGTACGCATTTATACCGAGTAGCAAAATCGGTATCTGCTCTGTTCGTCAGAAAAGTGACCTTCAGCATTCTTAATCACTTTCTATATTTATTTAAGCCTTCTCATAATTATTAAGGTCAATTATGGAATTATTTCCTAATTTCACACATTTCATTAATTATTTTCCTTAATTAACGGTGCGGGTTCTTACATTCTCCCCACCTTTTTAGGATTTTGCCCTCAAAATCAGAAAACAAACATGTCTCGAAGCTCGGGATACTGCGGAGTAGCTCGTCGTCTCGCTCCCAAAAATACTTTTCAGGAATTCTTTCCGTCCATTGCGTTTTGACCATCGGAATGGTCTCACTCCTCAGTTGCTTCTCGCCACGATCGAGACTCTTGATTGGTCCCACGAAAGTCTTTAGGTTCTCCCGAACCTCCACAACATCCGGTTGCATCACATGCGAAAGATCCGCTATAAACATGCGAAGTTGAGACACGTGAAACACGTCATGGGTGTTGGCCAAGTTCGTAGGCAAGGCAAGCCGGTAGGCAACTAGTTCTACTCTACCAAGGATCTGGTATAGCCCAATAAACCGCGAGCTCAGCTTCCTCACTCCGAGGGCCCGACCAACACCGATGACAGGTGAAAGCCTCACAAACACGTGCTCACCCTCACTGAACTCCAGTGGACGATGCTTGACATCGTAGTAGCTCTTCTGGCAATTCTGCGCCTGCTTCAGTTTCTCTCGGATCATCTGGATCTGCTGGGTAGTATCTTGGACAAAGTCCAAGCCAAAATGCTCCTTGTCTCCACCTCAGATCAGCAGGCAGGAGTCTGACACCTCCTACCATACAACGCCTCGTAGGGTGCCACGCCCAGGCTAGCATGGAAACTGCTGTTATAAGAAAACTCTACCAATGGCAGGTACCTATCTCATGCTAAGCCTTGCTTTAAAGTGCAAGCCCTTAACATGCCCTCCAAGGCCTGGACGGTCCGCTCAGTCTGTCCATCAGTTTGAAGGTGATAGGCTGTACAGCCTGTACTCAATCTCAACTGAGTACCAAAAGCTCCCTGCAGTGCCTCCCAGAACCGAGGTGTGAACTTCGGGTCCCTATCACTGAAGATACTCTCGGGCACCCCGTGAAGCCTCACACTATCGCGAACATACTGTTTGGCCAACTGCTCATAAGAGGAGCTCACCTTGATCAGAAGAATGTGGGCAGACTTCGTCAGTCCGTCCATAATGACCCAGTTAGAGTCAAAGTCAGCCTGAGTCTTAGGCAAACCCATCACGAAGTCCGTGGAAATGCTCTCCCATTTCCATTCCGCAATCTCTAGAGGTTGGAGTTTACCAGACGGCTTCTGGCGTTCTAACTTCACCTTTTGACAAACAACGTTTGGACACGAAACAACATTGTCCCTCTTCAAACCAAGACACACCGTCCTGATCCTTCACAAGGTCCAGGCACTCTCTCTGCACAAGCGCCTATTGGATCTTCTCCAAAAGCTCATTCTAGACTCTCACAAACTCCGTCTCGAGAAGTGCACCCCCAAACAAGGAAGCCACCGTCAAAACTCAAAACTTCGCAATCGCACCGAAATCGTTATTCGATTCACTAGGATCACCAGTCACTCTATCAATAGAGGTGACCTGACCCCCCATGCACAGATCCACAAAAAACTTAAGTGAGTTTGGACCTATTCCATGACTCTAGCCTCGTCTCAACTTATAATTTCTATAGTTCAACATTCTCAAAATAAAATCATATCCTTTTCGCAGTATGAAATCATATCGTGTTCTTTTCAATCAATACATGTTAATTAACATTCTAATTCACATGGTAACGTACCTTAGTTCACGTACTCCTGCAAAAGTTTTCAATTATAATAACATAGTAAATAAATACTCTATGCAACAGTATACCTCAATCTCCACGGCCTCTGCAAAATTGAAAGTCAATAAAGGTGAAATAACATCAATACATTATCACGATTTATCATACTCATTTCATGTTTAGCACTATCCATGGTATCAACATGCCAACTACATATGGAACATATCAATAATAACAGGTGAACCTAGAGTCATGGAGACTGATGGGACGTAAATTCGTTCCCATCTAAGCCCATTTTGATGGCAAAATACCACATGTTCCCTCATCTGATGAGCAACTTCAGCAAGAAAATCACTTGTTTAAACATTTGTGACAAAAACACAGTGGAGGAACGTATGGTAACGTATTCCTTTAAAATATATTAAAAGGGGAACGGACTGAGACGCATTTAATGCACCTGCTCCACTCATTTAATGCCTCTGTACACTTTGCAGGTAACGTGGAGTTAAAGTCTTCTAAAAGCAAGGCGGTGCACCAACTGAGCAGCTGGAAACGTGAAGAGCAGAGAATCAAGAGTTCTGATTGGCTGAAAAATAAAGGCATGGGGCAGACTGCAAACAACGGCTAATCATCACCAAAACCTGTTCCATCCAGCAATCTGCGCAGTCTCCACACTCTGCTACCACCATCCCGTCCCCTTATTCAAGCAACTTCCTCTAAAGGATTTACAGGACTACCACTCCTCTTCCATCTATAAATAGGACGACCCACACACAAAAACATCATCGAATCCTGGAGGGTTTGAAGTCTGAAAGGAAGAGATCACCTAGTAGTAGTAGTAGTTAGTAGCTTAGATTTTTTTAAGTTGTAACTATAGTTAAGTGACAAGCCTCTTATCTTCTCTGTATCAACCATTAAGACTCCTCACGAGCAATAACCCATTTTTCTCCATTTTCTGTTTCTTCTGTAAACTGTCTTTTAAATTAATATAAGTGTTTTTCTCTTCGTTCTATTCGTTATCTCTTAACTGAATCTCGGGTCTATGGGACTTCAGTTGGGAATAATTATGTTTAAAATATCATCCATGAGCTGAACTATCTGTGGAACGGGTAATCTGTGAAACTCTTAAAGAACTGTTTTCAAAACTCTCTACTGGAGCTTTTTGTATTTATTTGGCTAAGTGAGCTATATTCATTGTGTACCAATGGAAATTGGGCACATACTAAGAAAGGAACTTCCATAAGGAAGGGATTTCAGACAGCTTAGCCATTGGGGGAAGGTAGTGTTATGGAAAAAACACTACTGGTCACCTTAGGAATAAGGGGCCAACTCGTCCATTTTAAGGTTTTGTACTAAGTACTTGTTGGAATCAAGGAAGCCGTAGGAATATGAAAACTTGTGAGCCATCTAGTCCATGAGCTGAGGAATCAGTGTTGGCAGACAAAAAACTGGGACAAAGCCAAGAAGTGCTAAGTCTTGAGCAGAGAAAACAGCTATTTAAGAGTGAATCAGTGAATCCGTTCCTTCTGTTTAACTGTTATAAAACATCACCCTGTTGTCTCTTGATTATAGTTATTTCTGCTTTAGTAGTTTTTTGACTTTACATAATTATAACTATTAACTCCAATGATTATTATCTCACCTTCTTCTAAACAGGAAGGATTACATACATAACGCAGCGAGTAATTGTTTGCCAGCAGATTGAACCTACTGTTCCTGAGGAACGTTGTCAAGACAGTAGGGAATGTTTGACCATACAGTTCATTTACTAACTTTTCTTCTCATTTTCATTCTTTATAAAACAGTGTAAGACAATAATTAGGATTCTATCCTCGTGGGAACGATAATTTGGGCATTAATACTCCCTTTATTACTTGATGCGTGCACTTGCGCACTTGGGTTGGAACTAAGGGAACAAATCTGTGTTCTGCAAGAACAGAGGAACGTCCCCTATCAGAACTTATAATTTTCCACCATCAGCAAACCACCCAACAAGTTTTTGGCGCCATTGCCGGGGATAGAAACACTAAATTTTGTTCTTATTTACTGTTTTTAGTACATATTCTGTATATCTGACCTTACCTTTATATTTTTCTTTATGTCACTAATACTGATGTGCATATATAACTTGTGTTTATAGTTTATGAGTGAAGAGTTTGAAAGAAACTCTGACCACTCCATTGAAGTACCTGAGTTTCTCTTTGATCCTGAACCAAAACGTACACTTCATAGGAGAAGAAGAATCCTCAGGGAAGAAATTCTTGAAAACATGGTTGATCACAATAATAACAATGAAGAAGTTCCTCCTGAACAAAACTTCAGAACTTTGGCTGCTCCTTTCAGGAACAGACCAGACAGGGGAGTAATTCTCCTTCCTGTAGCACCCAACTTTGAACTGAAACCTATCATGTTTCACATGATTAGGGAAGCAGGGGTCTTCAATGGACTCCCCGCAGAAGATCCTTACACACACTTCACAACATTTCAAGATATCTGTGATAATTTTAAAGCTGAGGGTGTGACAGAGGAGAGCATGAGAATGAGGTTGTTCCCTCACTCCTTAGGATTAAAGGCAAAAACATGGATGAAAACTCTCACCCCTAGATCAATCCACACATGGGAGGAGCTCTCTAACAAGTTCATAGAGAGGTTTCTCCCAATATCCCGACAAGCTGATGTTAGAGCAAAAATCTCTAACTTCAGAATGTTTTATGGAGAAAACCTCTATGAAGCATGGGAGAGATACAAGGACATCATCAGAAAATTTCCAAACCATGGGGTAGAGAGTTGGGGAGTGTTACAATCTTTCTATAAGGGACTTGACCATACTTCTCAATCTCACTTAGATTTTGCTGCAGGGGGATATTTCTTTACAGGAACACTTGAATCAAGATACGAAATCATTGAAGGAACTGCTGAAAGGTGTCTCCAATGGCCAATAGACAGAGTGAGCCCGATAAGGAAGCCAGGCATGCTAGAACTAGATAAACAAACTGCAATGGAAGCCCAACTGGCATCACTCATGAATGAAGTGAAGAACCTGAAAGCTGACCAAGCAGCACCAAGGATAGAAGTCTTGCAACTCACAGCAGCTGAAACTGAACCATGCTCAGCCTGTGGTGACCTTCATGACTCAACAGACTGCCCATCCACTGCATTGGTATGTTATGCAGAAAATTTTGGCAACAGGAACTTCACCAGAGACAATCAACAAGCAGGACGCAGTACAAATTCAAATCCTGGAGGAACTATCATTAAGGATCAGAACCACAACACCCAATAGAGGCCACCCATGAACCAAAGACCATTAAACACCCAGCAGCAGTATCAGCAAGGTAGCAGTAGTGGAATGTTTGAACTAAGGAGAAATAACTACATTTCGTTCCACAGAGATGACCAATGCATCAACACCCTGGAAAATTATGTCAAGGAATATGTCACCAGGAATGATGCAGTGGTCAGGAACATTGAATCCCATCTGGGACAGATTGCTGCCAATCTCCAAACCAGAACACCAGGATCACTATCAGGGAATACTAACGTTCCCTCAACAACCTCACCAAAAGAGGCACTTACTTCCCCTACAGAGCACATTAAGGCTGTCACCCTAAGAAGTGGGAAAGCTACTGCACCACCCACGACTCTGTCAAGAGAAAAAGGAAAGACTAAAGCATCTGAAGAAGCTCCAAAAACACAACACCCAGAGCCTGAAAAGGAGGACGAAGCCAAAGAAGACCAAGTGGACAACAGTCAAGCAATCAGTTCAACCCAAAGCAGGCTAATACCAACAAAAATTATGTTACCTAAGAGAACAACGAAGCAACAGGAAGATAAGCAATTTGGTAAGTTCCTGGACATCTTAAAACAACTACACATCAACATCCCTGTGGTGGCACTAGAACAAATGCCCAGGTACGTAAAATTCATGAAAGATGTTCTCTCAAAAAAAAGAGGGATAACAGAATATGAGACTGTAAAAATGACACAAGAAAGTTGCCAGTATTTAGGCAAACTTCCACCTAAGCTTCAAGATCCAGGCAGCTTCACCATTCCCTGCGTTATAGGAAACACGTACCAAGGGAAAGCCTTGTGTGATTTAGGGGCCAGCATCAATCTCATGCCTCTATCTGTCTTCAAACAATTATCCACTGGACCAGCTGACCCAACCACGGTAACCTTACAAATGGCAGACAGATCCATTGTCAAACTAGAGGGGAAGATTGAAGATCTGCTAGTCAAAGTGGACAAATTCATCTTGCCCGCTGATTTCTTCATCTTAGATTATGAAGCTGATATTGACGTTCCCATCATTCTGGGTAGACCGTTCCTAGCAACTGGAGGAGCAGTCATCAATGTACAAAAAAGGAAACTAACCATGAAATTACATGATGATGAAATCAAATTCAACGTCGTTAAGGCAATGAAGTTCCAGGACGAAGGTGAAGATTTGGAAGAATGTTCTGCCCTCACTGTGTTAGATAACCAGTTCAGCATAAAAACAGAAGGGGAAGAATATGAGGAGGAAGAAGAAGGTCCACAACAAGGGGAACAGAGTTGCTATCTGCAAGAAAGAAGGCCTGAACCTTTGATAAGAACAGAAAAAGAAAAATAACTCAAAAGACCTTCATCAGAAAAACCTCCTGACCTAGAACTAAAGCCTCTTCCCCAACACCTGAAGTATGCCTACCTGGGGGACGATAACACCCTTCCTGTGATCATTTCGTCATTTCTCACCAAAGAACAAGAAGAACTGTTGCTTAATAAACTCAAAAAGTACCAAGGAGCCATCGGCTAGACCATAGC